AAGGAAAACCAGTTGATTGCATCGACTCATTGACTTGAATGTAATCCCTATCAGTAAGTCTGCTTGTAGCGACAGTGGAGAGGAAAAACTCCCTTTTAACAGGAAGAAACCTCCAGCAGAACCAGGCTCAGTCTGAGCGGCCATCTGCTGAGGCCCACTGGGATTCAAGAATCATAATGTTCCGACTTTATTCTCAGAATTTTATGACTATTCTCGAAATAGAAGGAAAAAAATCTATAGCCTGGCCCTAATACTCCGTAGTATGTTTCTGCTCAGTAGCGTTAGAAAATACAAAATAAATCAGGCAGAAACTATGAGTTTCAACATCCTGTAGCCCCAGCCAGAAAATGGAGTCATCCAATCACATTGCTGTGATGTCATATCTACTAAACCATTTCAAAAGTGTGGTGATATCAGCTCTACTCATCATCATTCATTTAGTAACAGCTTCTAACATTATTTACAGGACAGTATTTACCATTTCATCTTGTTACATGACCAGGAAGTTTTCAATCTAAGGAAAACCAGTTGATTGCATCGACTCATTGACTCAAAGGCAATCCCTCACGCTAGGCATGCTTGTAGCGACAGTGGAGAGGAAAAACTCCCTTTTAACTAGGGCTTAAAAAAAACAAAATTATATTTCAATCGTTCTGTTCCGAATGGTTCAGGTATGTTTAATGTTTTTGTTCTTGCATTCCGCCAACAACATATCGGCCCTGAACCGGTTCGGTACGCAAAATATCATTTGTTCTTACCGTTACGGCAGTGTTTGGAGTTCGATTTTTTTACGCTGCATTAAATAAGAAATGTATCCTCATCGGGTTTTCCTTGTTCCGTCCCATCTTAACATGTAAAAGCTAAAATATATGGCAGCATTCAGTCTGTAACAACCACACGTGCCAGCTAACATTAAGTCCAGTTGGCTGTAGCTGATGATAGCTAGTTAGCTCCCAAGAACAGTGTAGATACTGATTCATTTCGTAGCTAGAAATGTCTAATAGATATATTTGCATCCTTTATAGTGAATTACTAAGTTAACATTATTATTATTAGTTATTAGGTATTATTAAATATTATAGCTTATTTACATCTTAGCATCTTGCTGGGGTGGTAGTGGAAAAGGAATATAGTGACAGCAGCCTGGATTGAGCCTGGCGGCGGCGAAGTGGACGCACAACTGGAAATAGTATTTTTTCCCCACTGACATTGGCTATGCTTTTGTGAAATTTTATTTAAAAAATATATATATATAGAGAACAAAAAAAAAAACCACATTATTAACCGGTTTTGTGGATTTCAGAATAACGTTTCTGTTCCGCAACAGTTGAGGACCATTTCGTTTTTACGTTTCGGTTTCTGTACCTGGTAAAATTCTGTTCTTTTCCTGGTTTTCGTTTTCGTTCCTTGAACCGGTTCGGAGCCCTGCTTTTAACAGGAGGAAACCTCCAGAAGAACCAGACTCAGTGTGAGCGGCCGTCTGCTGAGGCCGACTGAGGTTCAAAGACAGAAGCAGAGATACAAAAAGCAACTTTAAAAGACGGCCGTCCAGGAAACACACAGCCAGGCAGACAAGATCCAAGCCAGCTCCCATGTCAGAGGATGTAGTCCTTAATTTGTCCCTAACAATGTAGGGGCAGTCCAGGGACTGACAGCAGTTCTAATGTAAGGTCAAGGTCAATGACCTGTGGAATTTTATTTTTAATTGTGTTAATACAGCCACACCGTAGATCTGTGGTATTTCTTCTGAAGATGATAAACTCTCAGCCCTGTGATTAAAATCTTTGATGATCTTTTTATTTAAATTGGTTAATTATCCTCCCTTAGAACATCTTTTTAAGTCATAAAGAAGTGCAGACACTTGAGTCTGAATTGTTTCACCCATTTTAACTTTCAGACCATGTAGTCTTCCAGGTTCTGCACTCTTGAACCAGTCGATATATTCATAGTAAAATAAGGGCAGTCCGGTCTGGCCTTCTTAGCTTAAGCACCAAGAAGTGGGTCTCCACTGTGACCGCAGCGGTGCTATTACAGGCCGGGAGCCTCTCTCCTTTCCAGGGGAGGGTGGATCACTTTTCCTCTGCACTCGATCCTAATCTCATTGGCTTCATTTCTGCCTTATGCCAATAAAGTGTAACCTCATTATCCTAATCTGTCTCGCCCGGTGAGGGACAGGTGAAATTATCATGTTGCCTAAATACTGCGCTGCAGAGATAAATCAGCCCAAAGTAGCGGCGTGGCGGCAGCAGGCGTTTTAGTGGGTCGTTAGGAGTCTCGGCTCTGATGGGTCATATTGGTGTGAAGTGGCTCTGTTGACAGGCGTCTTCTATTCACTTAATCAGGCAAAGGTTAACAGCCGTAAAAAGAGCCTGATGGAGATCCTCGCTCTGATCCTCGACAGTGATTTATTCACTGAGCGAAGCGAGGCTGCGAACTGCGTCAGCCTCTGCAGCCATTACTGGCTGGTTGTTCATATTTTGGCTGCTCTCTATTGTCCCAAAGGTGGCAGCTAATGGACTCAGATCTGTATACAGTGATCCTGCTTTTTTTTTTTATATATATAATATAAGATAATTATAAGATCTGTTAAGAAAATGTGTTATTTATGTTTAGAATAATAAACCTGTCCATAGACTCATGGTTTTCCCTTTTTTTAGAAAAAAACATAGAGGGATTCAATTCAATTCAGTTTATTTCTATAGTGCCAATTCACAACATGTCATCTCAAGGCACTTTCCAGTTCACCCAATGTTTATTTTTTGTTTTTTTGCTGCTTTCTTAGATTTTTTTTCTTCATAGTCGATTTTTAAATTATATTTTCTGAAATTTCTCTTTTTCTGATCACGTCTTATGAATTTGCATTATTTTCAAATTGGGTTTTATGGATCAGATTCTCTTCACTTCAACGCAACACAAACAGGCGGTCCTGAACATGGGCGCGGTAGAGGACCTGTAACCACTTAGGGCCGGTTTTCCGCATTTTCTTTTCCAGTGAATGATGTCATGATTTGTTTCAAATTCAATTCAATTCAGTTTAATTCTATAGCGCCAATTCACATCGTGTCATCTCAAGGCAATTTACAGTTTACCCGATCATCCAGTCTGATTGATTCAAAGTTTTCTATCTAACGAAAACAACTTGATTTCATCAACTCATTGACTCTAAGGTAATCTCTCACACTAAACATGCTTGTAGCGACAGTGGAGAGGAAAAACTCCCTTTTAACAGCAGAACCAGGCTCAGTGTGAGTGGCCATCTGCTGCATGTATATATATATATATATATAAACAATATAAACGGTGGGTGTTTTCTTGACTCTTGTTCTTCCGATTGGAAAAATCTAATTTAATGTGATCATCTGAATCAGAATGAGTTTGAAACAGGAAGATTAGCTTTACAGAAGATGATCCACTGTTTGGGTTTTTCTTTAAAATTTGAAACTGTCCGCTTGACTTAAAGCCTTATGCTGTCATCAACTGCTTTTACCACCTAAGCTAAGATGCTGACCTGGATATGCAGCCTTCTGCAGGCTCAGACCCTAAAAGCAGAGCGGATTTATTCAGACACATTGCTGACACTGAGATTTGTGCTCAGTCTCTCTTCACGGAGGCGAGTTGATCAATATGTTCATTTATTCCTGCTGAGCCTAAGAGGAAACATGAGCGATCAGCCCGCCTGGTTAAGATAAAGTACAGAAATATCTCATTTTCTGAGGATTTAATGCCAGTTTTCGCCTGTATTTGCACCCCAGGAGAAGCTCTGTTAAAATATCTACAATAAATGAATTTATTCCCGCAATGTCTGCCTCATTCCAAAAAAGTAAAAAACAAAAAAACTATCCACTGGACTTTGTTTCCAAGTTTGAACACTGAAAAAGTTATGTCTTTAATTAAGTGTAATTATCCTTAATTTGAGTAGGTAAATGAGATAGTTTGCCAATGGAATGAGTATTTTTACTCTTAAAATAATATAATTAGGTAATATACACTTAAAATGGGACAAAGCAATTGTGTTTTCTTATTTTAAATGTAAATTGTCTCATTCCATTGGCACACTGTGTATTACAATTACATTGATACAAGAACAAATGCACTTATTTTAAGAAAAAACGACTTATCTAGATTTAGATTTTTTCCATCCAGGAAGCTTTTTCAGTTCAAAATGTCAGAAATAGGTTTGAGTTTGAGGCTTTGTAGAGTGGAGCAAAAACAAAGCCTTGTTTTGGCT